TGCAAAGAGCTCTTGGGCTCTGCCAAAACAAGAACTAGCAAACTCCTGCAGCAGAGCTGGTTACTTGGCTTGCGTGAAGTTTCTGGCTTGAAGCACCAAGAGTGGGGCCAACCGCTGGATTTTGGTTGTGAATGGATCGGGATTGGGGACAAAAACACTCAAAGCAGTGATATTAGAAGAGAAAAACTTTGCTTTTCCCAGGGTGAAATGTCTGAGGCTGCCAAAGCTGACAGCAGCTCCTGTGTTCTGCTGGGGTGACCATGAGTGCTGACTTGCAAAACCAATATAAAGGACTGTCCTGCAATTCTGTGCCTACAAACCCATTTGAGATGGCTTTTAGTACAGCTAGCTGATCATGTTGAGCTCATATGAACTCAAAAGAACTTTTAATGTAACCTTAGCTGATCTTTTTTTTAAGAGATTTTGTGGATGGTGGCAACTACCACTCCTAAAGAGGAGGAGACACCACTCCATGATTCTGGTAGCTGGAGCTTGGATTTGGCTGAGGGAACGGGCATTGCTGTGCAATCTGGTGCTATCAATGATAACACTTATTTCCATCCTGGTAGTGCAGACTACCTTGGAAGTTGAGAGCAGAAAATGAGTAATGCCAAGAGGAAAAATGCACCATCTCCTCCAAAAAACCTCCTTCCTAGTTGCTTTCCTGGCTTGCTGTGCTCAGCTGAGCCTGTAGCAAAGTGTGGACAGATGCATTCGTGCTCCTGACCTCCTGATTAGTGTGTGTGCTTGCAGATGTTGATTAAAATACTCAGAGGCACACCGAGAGGTTGTGCTGAGGCTGTGTCTGGTGTAAGTCTCAAGCTGGGTTGTGAGATGATGTTTGTTAGCAACATAGCTGCTCTTCTCCCAGGAAATGGCATTTGATGATTAAGATTTCATCTTTCTTGGAGAAGTCTGCAGCCCCTGGGCTGTAAGTGCTGCTCCCACAGAGCAATTAAGCTTTTTCTAGGAACATATACAATGCGGTTGAAGTTGTGCTTCCTGCTAACTACTGCTCTGCTGGTTTGTTTTATTACCCCAGGTACAGCTGCCAGGTGCCACTAAGGCAGTGGAGGGGGAGGTAATGCCACCTCAATTCACTGCTCTTCCTGACAGAGCCCTGGGCTCTTTAAAACTCAGCTCAGAAATTAAATAACTGCAGGGCTAGCAGCTTGACGGGGCTGTGAGAGGGTTGATAGCAGCAGGACTGGGGACATGAAGAGGATCGGAGAAGGTGATGGGAGTAAGGAGAGAAGGCTGGGTTGGATATTGAGATATTGAAGCAAGACAGGCTTTGGCCAGGCATGAATTGCAGGGGAAGGAGTGATGCTGCAGTGGGGAATGGCTGGAGAAATAGCATAAATTGGGGATATTTGTTTATTTTCACATTGCATATGGTGGGCTGAGGTACACAAAGACTTGGGGTCAAGGCATCTGCTACTTATGGTGGCACAGGGTGAGGGGTTGATTTTGTTCCTGCAGCACTGAAGGGTGGTGCCTGCTGTCCTTGTTCTCATGCACTTTTCATGTCCTAATTTCTTTTCCATGAGATGAGTCCTGTAGGGTGGACTGAATGGGATCATCCTGACCACAGAAGGTGATCTTCAGTGCTGCTTCAGGGCTGCTCTGATCTTCTCATCCGACTTTAACTCGGTTCCTGTCTCTGGCCTCCTTACTCAGCAAAATCTCCTTTCTTGACTTCTTTTAGATCGCATTTCAGGCTGAAGTGGCACTTCCTGTACTCAGAGGTCTGACCTCAATTTGTTGTATAGCTCATGGCACTTCAGCAAATGCTGCCTTCCTATGAAGGTGGCAATCTGCAGCGGTAGAGATGGGGAAGGGAAACACCACTTTGAAGATCTTAAATTCTTCCCCAGCTGATCTGAGGCCTTGTCTGACCCCTTCCTCTGCCTCTCTGAAGCAACTGCTCATGGCACAGGCTCTGAAATACCACTGAGGCTGCGCTTACATAGGGAAACCTGGTTGATACAGGTTGTCACACAAATTGTGCAACAACCACATCAGATCCTGCTCTAAACTTCTGCGAAATGCTGATCAAACTTACGGAGGAGCTGAGCAGCTTCTCCTGTTGCTTGTGGCATCTGATGCCCTTCAAGCAGCAGGGGTGGCACTCGGTGATGTGGGGAAACAGCTGCCAGGGCTGGAGGCAGCTTCTGAGCCATGCTCGGAGGGAAGGGGAGGTGCATCTGCCATGCACACAGCTCATCTTCTCACCTTGAGGTGACCCCGCGTTTGACAGCCATAAGTTGCTCGTGTTTTAAAATGCCTGGTGGAATAACAGGCTGAAGGAGTCAAAACAGGAGTGGTTTGGAGCCTTGAGGTGGCTTAGTGACAAAGCAGACACCTGCCTGGGAGTGCAGTTCCTGTACAGCCCAGGTTTGGGATTATTTGGAAGCTGAGTGCTTTGTCCGCCCCTTGCCCAAGGGACGCACGGCTCTGCTGCCTTTTGTTCTGCTCTTTCCTCCTCTAAAGAGGGAGGAACAGAGGATGCTTCCCTTGCCAGAGTCCTCGCTGACCTCTGCCCAACCCTCTGATCCTACTCCACCCTTGCCCTTCTTCCAGCTTCTGTCCTGCTTCAGTCCTGTCTCCAGTCCTCTCTGCTTTGAGTCCACCACTGCTATGCCCTTATCAAGCCAGTTCCAGTGGGATGAAAAGTGAAGAAATCATCTTCCTTGCTTGGCTTTTACCCATCTGTGTCTTAATTGCATTAGGACAGTGGGGAAGAACTCAGTCATGTTCTCAGAGCTGTGTGCTTGAAGCATCTTGCCCTTCATGTCCCTCCCATCTGACCAAGTAGGAAGGATGAAGAAACGCGGACCTGTTGTGATAACTTCTCTGGGGATGCGGTCCTGGATATGGCTGAGATAGAGGAGCCCAGGGTCATGGATTTGAGCCTGATTTTTAAAAGTTTTTATTATTTTATGTGGCTGATTTTTGCTTTGGAGGGTTGCCCAAGCTCTCCTGGCACCAGGGGCGAGGCTGCCAGCACTGGTGGGTGCTCTGCTTTGCTGAGGAGAGGTTATGGTGTGTCCATCATGTATTTTGGAGTGAACCAAACCCCAGGTTTGGCTCTGTTTGGGTCTGCGATGCTTGCATGAAGCTTTGTGGTGCTTTGATGCCAGCAGGTACCTTGTCTGGCTGGTGTCCATCCATCCAGGGCTCAGGCTGCCCCTCAGTCCTGGCACATCTGCCAGCCCATGTGCAGATGTTTAATACCTGGTGGTACCCACAGAGCCATGATACTTTAGGTATTGTGTTCCTTTGTTTCCTATACTTTCCTCACCTCACTTCTTTCTGCCTTTGGGCAAGTTTCTGTCTTGCAGGGATGGAAACAGCTGCCTAAGCTCCAGCAGCAGCAGAGGACAGCACCCTTGGTGTGTTTTACTGGCTGCTTAGCAGGCTGGGTGGAAACGGCAGCAACCTGGATGCTTTTTATTGAAGCCTTCAGAGCAGTTTCTGATAGGACTGATCCAAGTTTATTCCTGTCAAGCAGGTAGATGAAGAAGGCAGAGATCAGGAAGGGGATTAGTCTGAGTTCTTTGAGTTTCCTATGCCTCAGATAGGCAGCTCAGAAGTCACCTGAAGGGTTGAAGCGCCTGCAGCCCTCCTGGGGATTCCTGTCGAGCAGGTAGATGAAGAAGGTAGAGATCAGGAAGAGGATTAGTCTGAGTTCTTTGTTGGGTTTCCTATGCCTCAGATAGGCAGCTCAGAAGTCACCTGAAGGGTTGAAGCGCCTGCAGCCCTCCTGGGGAGATGCTGAGCTGTTGGGATGAGTGCCCATCGGTACATTGCTCATAGCAGGAAGCGCTGCAGCCCTTGTCCTGTGTCGCAGAGTTCCTGTTTGTGGCCTCCCTGCTTGGGGCTTGTTTTTTGTAGTGGTGAGCTGTCGGCTCCAGATCTCTCCCAGATCATGTGTGCTGCTTTCAGCTGCTGCCGCCTCTACGATTGCTTATTCGAGGCTTTAAAAAAGTCATCAATATTTTAGTTTTCACTCAGCCTCTGCCTTGAAGCTCACCCTTTTCATTTTGCTGTAGTGCCCTAAAGCAAGCTAATGAAATATATCCCTCCTGCTTCAAATTAGTCATAAAAGACTTGTCAGAAGATGGGTAGAAGCTGCTGAATAATCCTGGTAATGTAAAAATTGACATTCTATAATGTCCCTAATTCTCCTAATTAAACATGATACACGAGAACACCACAAGAGTCCTCCAGCTGCTTCGTAATAAAATGTTGCAGTGAACCAGCTTGCTGTTGAATGAGGCTAGGTTAAACTCTAATTAAAGTGTTGCAAAAGGCTAAGGAGTTGTCCGCTGTAATTGGGAAACTTGTCTCATTTTCTTGGTGCTGCCACCTCGTGTGACCTGCTCCTCTGCCCTGTGGGGAGCTGTGGGTCTGTCCATCTGTATCAGGTGTCTCCTTGGAAATGTTTTTTTCCCTTTCTGTTTCCCCCCCTTCAGTTTCAAATTGCTGAATCGCAAGTGAAACGGCTGTGCTGCCGGTGACTTGAGCTGATGAACCTGTTGTGTTTGGGGTGGGCTGTGGCGCAGCTCTTGCTTCTGGGTCGCTTTTTGACATTTTTATGCCTTCTCGTCAGGGTTTTCATCCTGGGGTTGTTCTGTGTGGGGGTTTTTTTGTTTGATTTTGGTGTTTTGGTTTTGTTTTTTCTTTTCTCTGAGAGAAGTATCTGCTTGGGTTTGCCACCTGCACCATTAGCTTGCTGAGCAGGCTGGTGGGCGAAGCCCTGGCTGTTGCCAGGCTCTGTAAAACAGTCCTTCGAACACACACCTGAGGCCAATCCCATAATGTCAGAGCTGATTGCTTATAACTTTCATTCCTCCACAAACAAGGGCTTAAGAGAAGCCCCTCGCAAGGCCCTGGGTGCTGCAAAGGCCTCGCTGGAGCCCTTGGCAGCCATGATCGGTGGGTATGTCTGCGCCTCGGTGCGGCCCTGCTAACTGCTCTCTCCATGTTGTTGTCAGGGTACCTCAAGTGCGACACAGATGATGGCTGTGAGACCAAGGAGGAGACAGGGGGTGAGGAGCTTTTCGACGCGGTGAACTCCTCCATCGTGTCGGGGGACAGCATCCGCTTCTTCGTCAACGTCAACCTGGAGGTGCCACCGAATGCCACTGGTGAGTGCCACCCGCAGGATGGGGCTGAGAGACATGGTTGTTCCTTACCACAAGATTTTGGAGCAATTTTATTGGATTTAAGGGAAAAAAAAAAAAAGGGCTGGCTGATGAGTGGGTCTTCAGCCACCTGCCTGAAGTGTCCTGAGGTGGTTTTATTTTTAAAAGGCCTTGAATCTGGGGCCTTGCTTCTGTTCTTGCTGCTGTGGCCTGGTCACCGGAGGAGAGTAATTTCTAATGAGAAATTGGGATATCTGGTGTATGTGGTCACTGTAAATACTTTAGACATGACTCTAGGGCTTCCTGAGGGTTTTGCAGGTTTTGGTTTGTAATCAAGTTTTAACTGAAATCCTGGAGGTGAGTTGGAGCAGTGGATCACCCAGGTCCATTGCTGCCTGGCTGGAAGCAGCAGCCAGTAAAGGAAGAAAGTGTGGAGGGACTTTTGGGGTTTGATGTGTGCTTTTTGGACTTAATCATTCTGGCTGGAGGCATGCAATCCCTGTACTTGCTGTGTTGAGACAGACAGCAAAAATGAAGAGAAAACCAGCCTGTTAGACACCTCTCTGATGGAGATCTGGCCCCTGCAGCGCACAGCTATGCCTGTAGTACAGGGAAGTGCTGGTGTGTGTCATGCTCTAGTTATAAATACAAACTATTTGCTCCAGATGAGGGTCCAAGTGCTAAACTCTCCTAAATGTGTTTTAGTGGTATCTGTGCCTGCTGTAAGGCAGCTTCATGCAGGGGATTAGGATGGTGTTTGCTGGTGGTGGTGACTGCAGTGCAGTGCAGTGTTGGGGATGAGCACACCAGTGAAATGTATCCCAGGGGCTTCCATTCTCTGGGACAAAGAGATGGCTGTGGAGCTGTGTTGCAGATGGATATGCCTGCCCAAAAGTGTGCTCTTTGTGCCCTCCCTGCCAAGCCAGTGTCTTTTAGAAACTTTGCCCAGCACAGGGAGCAAGTTGGAGATGACTTCCAGACAGCCTGGTTCACACAGATTGTGCAGGTATCCAAAATGCTTCCTATTAGAATGAAATCCCTAGATGTTTTTCCTTTTGGCCTCCAGCACACCATTTTAACATCTTCTGCAATGCATATGCTAAATGGTGGTGGAGGAGGAATAGCAAACCTGGCTTTTGTGGTATGTGTGGAGGAAAATGCAGCTCTGGGACAGGGCAGCAGCCTGGGGTTCATCCTGGCAGCTGGAGGCAGCCTGGAGCCTGCCTGTGTGGGCACTGACTATTTTGGGAGATTAAGTGTGAGGGCTCTGGATTATACTTGGCATTACAGTATCGGAGAGTCCTTTAAATTTGCTGACAGTTATTTTTAGATTACGAGCAAGTGCCAATTGATCTCTAGTGAGCAATTATTGGAAACAGCGATGGGGAGTAGGAATGGCCTTGATCCTCTGCTTGACTATCTTGAAGTCTACTTTTTGAATCGGAGTGGTGACTTTAAGTTAGGAATAATATCTAGCAATTTTCAAGCCTGCAATTTTACAGATGCCATCTTAATTGAAAGATTTAAGGGGAACTGTACTCTGCTATGACAAGTCTGGGCTTAATGCCGTGGGGTGCATTGTTCGGGGATGAGGAATGCAAGTGCTGTGGATTCTTCTGTGTCTGAAGAAGCTGCCTTTCCTTGTGTGTCCTCCTGGGCTTTTTATAAGTGTTTTTCCTTCCATTCAAAACAGGGCAGAAAAGGCTTCCTTATTTCCCTCAAGCACTCTTGTCTGTGACAGCGGTATTAGTTGTATCTATTTTCTTCTACTGAGATGTTTAGGCTTTTTAAGGAAAAATGGGCTTTTCACGTGCTGGAGTCACCTTTCCAAATGCAAGAATGGAGGCTTTAAAAATGGACTTCAGGCAGAAACAAAGTCCAGACTTTCAGTAAGGGCAGGTGTAAAGTGAGATTTATTTGACAGCATCAAAGCAGTCCAGGGAGCCAAAACCCAGGTTCTTCTCTGTGAGCATCAGGCGTAGGATTCCTCAGACTCCAGGTGTTTGAGTCACCTGGGCTGTCAGCTCTGCCTCAGAGGTGGTTCTGCTGAAGCACCTTCCAGGGTTGATTTTTCTATGTATTAAATCAGTCTCTGGCTGCAGAGGACGTAGCTGATCCTCCTGGAAAGCTGACTTCTTAGGTGGTTGGAAGTGGCTGAGGTGAGCCCCCTTAAGCTCTTCTAAGGAAAGCAGCCTGAACTGCTAAAAAAAGAAAATTACCTTTTCCACAAGTTTTCTGAACCCTTTCCAGAAATGAGGTTTAACTGTGCCATGGCCAAGGCGTATCTGGGAGCGTATTGCTCGTTTTTCAACTCTGCGAGAGGACATCTCTCAGAAATGCCCTTGCATTGCTGCTGCTCTCTGGGTGTCTTGTTTTATGTCCAGGTTTTCCCTTCCTGGAACAAAACTGTGGAGCTGAAAAAGCTCAAGAAAAAGGAGGCAAAGGGGGAAGCAGGTTTTATCCAGACAATACAAGATTTTTTTCCCCCCAAACATCTCATTTCCAGCCCCCAGGGGAGCTCACACACCAGGATGCTACAGATCCCCTGGTGCTCTTTAAACACAATGAAAAGGCAAGTGTGGGAATGTTGTCTTTCCATCCCCATCTCAGTTTTTTTGCCTTTTCCAAGAACACAGTGTCCAGATTCTCTCCTGCTTGAGACTTTTTCTGGTGAGCTGCTGTGAGGTTGCTGCCCACCTTTAGTGTAGGGTTAAAAGATCCAAAAATCCCTGCTGGGGAGGGGGAGGAGTTGGTACCTCAGGGGCTGGGTGCTAGCAGGCAACACAAGTGGAATTACAGCCGTGGTGACAGCTCTGCCATCATCCTGTCGAGCTGTTAATCTCCATATGATGGATGTACAGCTCGTTAGGAGCATAATTGGATGCACTTTACTGTAATTTTCTTTTAAAAAGATCGCTGCGTGGGATTAAACATTGAGCCAACAAAACATAGCACAGCCCATAAAACTCCAACAATTAACCATTGTCATAAAATGCTGGGCTGTGCACACAGATGTGTATAAAACAGGATCGCTTGAAGAAATCTAGAGTTTAAGGTATGGCTTATCTCACTTTTAATTACTGCTGGCTGCTGTTGCTTGGGATATTGAGCTCAAATCAGTGCAGGTGCCTAGGTGCTAAAATGCTTCTCAGTCTTGACACTTGGGTCCTTTCTCCTGGGTGTTTTATTGCTTCCTTGTGGTAGCTGATGAAAAGCTTTTTTTAATTATTATTATTATTACTATTATTCTTACTCTTTTCTGCCTCTCATCCTTCCAGCTTAGGTTTTGGTGGCAAGACTTCTGTTTTCAGTAAATGTTAGTAGCTCCAACATGGAGGTGGGTCTTCATTTGAAATTGGATGCTTTTGGACCTGGGGTCTGCCTTTTTTTGGGGGGCTTCAGAATGGTTTTTAGAGAGACTGAGACTTAAGTCACAGTAAATTAGTACAAGGGAAATGTGAGGTCTATACCCTGCTGTGTGTATTCTTGCAGGAGTCAGCACCGCATTCCTGACCCAAATGAAGTCCCATTACCCTGACATCTCTGCCCCAGGTCAGAGAGGGACCCCCCCCACCACAGCAGTAGGGACATTACCCTTTTGCTCCAGGTGGAAAATCCAGCTTGATGCTCTGGTGTATGAACCCTTCTGTTGTCTCTGTGTTAGCCAGATGTGAATCGGACTGTTCCTTGTATTTTATGTGTGGGCTTTTCCATAAATCCCTTGAGCCTGGGCTGCAGGTGTGTGTACCTGCATCCCTTCAGCCTGTTGCAGAAACACCAACCCTAGGGGATTCTACCACTTTATCTGCAGCAGGCTTGGAAATAAATCCCTACAAATAAATACAGGAATATGAGCCTAAAAGTTGGCAGGCAGGCACTGCAAGCTGCATTTGTTGAAGTTTGATATGTGAAGTGTGCAGGTCCACAGCCTTGCCACTGATCAGTGTTCTTATTTGCTTGGTAGCTCCCTTAAATCAGCCAGGTAAATATTTTCATCATTTGGACCTTGTTCTTGCAGCTTGGGGTTTTAAAACAATTCTTTGGATCTTGTTTTTGCAGTCTAGGTTTTTAAAACAATTCACCTTCTTTCTCTGGTTTGCAGTAGAGGATTTTGTACAGGGTTTTTTTCCTAGACTTGGGTGTTTGTGGGAGCTGTGGCTGCTCAACTTTTTGCAGTGTGTGTTGCCACTCACAGCTGATGCTCGTACCGGTGACTTTGGCTGCAAAGAGGTGCTAGAAGTATTTTTTGGGGGGGAAAGAAAGTAAAAGCCAATCGGAAAGCAAGATGTAGCTTTGCTGGGGGTGGGAAATAACAGAACACGATTTATGCTTGATGAGGAACTAAAGCCTGTTCCACCCTCTGGACAATCGATCATTCCTAGATACAGAGAATCGACAGTTTCCTGTAAATCTGCTCCAGAGGCACGCACGTGCACGGCCGCCGAGCAAAACAGGGTGTACTAAAGCCACGGCCCCTGCCGAAAGGGCTCCTTTTTTTTCCTTTAAGGGGACGAGGAGAAATGCTGGATGCTGGCGCCAAGGATATTCCAGAGAGAGTAGCGTCCAGAGACAAGTGGTCTGGGCCTGAATGGGTATCATTCTGCACACAATAGTCACATTTCCTCACATTAATACCAAGGTCCTTTTTATGTCTCGAGGCACAATGCTGACCCACGCGTTCCATCTGATAACTCCTGTTTTAGCAGTTTGATGTCAGCATGGGATGTTGGGCTCCCGAAGCTTCCTATACTCTAATGGAAAGTGGATACACCGGTTGTGTGGCGGGGGGAGGGAGATGGCCTCCCTCCGAATTTCCTGATGAGAGTGTTTTCAAAGCGGTGCTTGTGAAGCCAAGGGAGGTGCTGGGGGGGGAGTTGCATAGGACAGGTTGTTCTGCACGAAGGCAGCGTTCTCCCTTCTAGGTGCTTCACCTTGGGTTTGCTTGGGTTTTAAGTGCCTTGCTCCTCTAGATAGTATGGGGAAAAAAGAATGCATCTTCTTCTTGCCTTGCCTCAAACTTAATGAGAAAACCTATTGTCTTTTTTTAAGAAGAAAGGTTTTTGCTTTTGTAGTGCATGCACATCTGAGGAATTGGGGGGTGTGACAAGTGACACAGTGCTTGGCACTCTTATCTTGTCCCTGGCTCCACATAAGAGCCCTGTTCACAGGATCACAGAATATGAGGAGCTGGAAGGGACCTGGAAAGCTCCCCCAGTGCAACCCCTGCCACAGCAGGATCACCACAGCAGTCACACAGGAACACGGCCAGGGCTTTGGGTGTCTCCACACAAGGAGACTCCACAACCTCTCTGGGCAGCCTGGGCCGTGCTCCAGAACCCTCACACTCACAAACTTTGGCCTCATCTGCAGCTTGAACCTCCTGTGCTCCAGCTTGGGACCATTGCCCCTTGTGCTGGCATTGGCCATCCCAGAGCAGAGCCTGGCTCCTTCCTCCTGACACTGCCCTTTCCCAATGGATCCCCAGGAATGAGGGCACCTCTCAGTCTCCTCCAAGCTAAAGAGTCAGTCTGTGCTGTCCACCTGTCTTTCCAATTCACCTTGGAGGAGTGCAAGGCAACGGTCCTTCCCTTGCCCAACCTTTCCAATGTCTGTGCTGAGCATCACTCAAGTGAGGTTCTCCTCCCTGCTCCAGAAACTTGTAGCTTGTTGCTTCTTCCCCCTTGCCTTTAAACCTAGGTGTTGGTTTAAGAGGGATGAACCCAGCTGAATCTAGGCTTCCTGCTGCAGCTCAGCACACCACCCTATCATGGGAATGTGGAGAAGTTGAGGCATAGTTCTCTGTCTAATGGTATTTAACCAAAATTACTGAAATCTGAAAGGGATGAGTCCAGACTTGGCACAGCCATGGCAGAGAGGCAAAGCAAAGGATCCCCTTGAGATGCTGTTTGTGCTATCCCAAAAGCTTAAAATCCCAGCCAAAAAGTTCCTGCTCTCTGGTTTCCACCCCATATTCCAAATAAAACATGGTCTTAAGATGCTGCAGATATCACTGTGGAGCTGCTTTGCTCCAAAGACTTCGGTGTCTTCTCAGGTGTTAAGGGCAGCACTGGAGACCTGCACAAGGGCAGGGTTGGAAATGGGATATGAAGTGAAAGGAGATCTCTTAAGGCAAAAGGTGAAGAGCCTTAAACTTGGACAGGTTTGTTTTCAGGGCTGCCTTTGCATAGAAGATGCCATTATCTAAATGAGGGGTGGAAAAGAAAGAAAGAAAACCTGGAAGCATGGGACAGTGCCCTGGCAGGGCTCTGAATGCGCCGACGCGAGGCCACGAGTGCAAGTCTGATGTTGGCAATTCATCATTGTTGCCAAAATCGAGGTGAACTCCCAGCAGGTCTCTTGCAGTGTATTCAGTAATGCTGCTGCGTGCTCGTGTGCGTGTATCCTAGAAATTTGGGATGCGCTTGTGGCCTTGATGTGGCTGCCAGGGGATGTCGGAGATGTGTTGGTGGTTTTCCCCTGGGCAGAACCTGGAGCAGAGCCCAACAGATAAGGCTGGTCACCCCTGGCAGCCCTCCTTTAGCTACGTGTGAGGACACAGACAATACTGCCGGTCGCTAGCTAGCTTCCCTAAAATAGACTTTTGCAGCCTGCTTTGTCCAGCAGGGAGGACCATAAAAATAGAAATGAAAATTTTACATGGCCCTGACCTCCTCTTTCTATTTAAGTATACTTGATTTCACACCTGAATGTCAGGATTAAGTTATTACTCCTGGTAGTGACACATAATGGGTGATTGATGGGTATTTTCTTCCTTGTTGTCAGTAGAGGGTGAACTTGTGGCTTTCTGTCTCAGTTTAACCCCCAGTAAAGGGCTTCTCCACGGGGGTGCAAGGGTCAAGGGTGTTGCATCTCCTTGGCTCTTCGGTAACTGCAGGGAAGGCAGTGACGATGCCATGCAGGATGAGAAACTGGGTGGTAGGTGTTTGGTGGTTCGTTTTGGGCTTTGGCCAAGCCATCTCCCAGTGGATGTGTCAGGGGCAACCTCCTGCAGGGTTTCATCCTGCATCGCCAAGTGGATTCAGTAAAGAAATGTTTGTAAATCATCAAAGAAGTTCATAAGCTGGGCAAAAAAAGCACTTGGGAAGTCTGTGTGTCTTTTTCCTCCTGTTTTTTCATGTTCTGATGGATTTGCTGCTCTCCTTGAGTCACGTTACAGCACTCCAGTGAGACTTCTAAGGTAATGGCCCTGAACTGAGATGGCAATACCCAGCTGTGTCCTTTCCCCAGATCAAGTCTGAGTGGTGTGGATCTTGGATGAAATGATGCATGAGGCTCAGGGCCTTCCAAAGCATCACCTCCATACCCAGAAATCCTTTTTTTTAGGAGAAAGATCCTGGTCCAACAGATGTAATTAGATGGTTTTGCTTGTGTTGATAAAGCAGCACCGGGTGCTCATCCGAAATGAGTACCTGAGAGAGCTGTCAGTGAAGATTGATACGTGCTTGAAAAACCGATAAGAGGAACCAAGAGTTGCTCGGTGATAAAAGCACAGCATGAATTTCTCTTCCTTTTACACGCACCCATAAGGACAGACTGCAGATATCTTTTTAGCACGTGCTTGCTGTTTTTCAAGCTTGTGGGTAATTTTTTTTTGTGTCTCTCCAGAACCATTTGTTGCAGGAGCTGGGTAACCAAAACATGTTTTCTCCTCAATGAATATTTATGGCCTCCAAATCTCCCAGCATATTTTTGCATGAGTAATTAGGCTGCGAATTGAGTAAGATGAGCGATGGAGAACTACAAAAACGTAACGAGCCCGGGGAAAACGCTTGATGTTTCTGGTTCATTTGGGTGCTTGCTTTTTTTAATAATAAATAGCGGGTTTTTAGATGAAACAGCTTGTGTTTTCCAAAAGATGCGTCAGGAGCAGTAATAGCTGGGGAGCATTGTACCAGCAGACTTGGCTAGCTAAGTGATGCTTATAATCTCATGCACAGCATCCAAGGGAACTTTGGGAGAATTTGGGTAATGTCTGAACCATCTTATTTTGTTTAGTGGGAGATGAAGGCAAACCTTTCCCTTTTCTCTATTGCAGTCAACTCTACTCTTAGTCTGAGTTGCAGCCTTTTAGCCCCACTGTGGATGTCATTTAAATTCCAGTTTGATAAGGGAAAGTTTGGTTAAAGCAGCTTTCTGTATGCAAAAATTCCTTACTCGTTCTGGGGTTATCATGTGAATTGCATCCTCAGCTTGCTTTTTGGGTAAGTAGCAGGGCTGGGCTTGAAGGTGCCTGTGTGTGTGGTCAGCCTGAGTAATGGGATTGCAGCAGTGCTTAAAGGTTGAGATTTGGAAGTCCAGATCTGGAAAGGAAGCAAAAAAAATACCCCCTTCATCTGAGTAGCTGTGACTCTGAGCTGCATCTCTGTACTTTTCCATAGAACGGAAAGGGTTTTGGTCTCAGTGGGTTTTTTCCATGCTGTCATTATGCTCATTTGAATGAAAACTGTTCATGCATTTCATGTAGAATTTTGGTACCGGGTCAATCATGTGGGGTTTTTGGAGAGCGTGAAGGTGAGGGCTTGGGAAGAGGAAAAATACACAGACAGTAGCTGTGGTCCTAGCGATGCTACAGAGCAGCTGTCTTGGATGGAGTGGGCTTGTGAGAAAAAACAACTGGGTTTTATTTATGTTTGTCTTTAGTTTATACCCAAAAATTGCTTCACAGATGCTCTAAGAAAACGTTAACATTGGTGCTTAGAAGTCTGAAGTGGGAACGTCTCGCGTATACCCATCCCTGTAACTCGGCTGCATGTTAAGTGACATTTAATAGTCTCTAAGCAGCAGTTTTCTTTCCCAAGAGCTCTGTTGCTTTACACTTGGATTTATGGAGGCAGCGTGGTGAGTTGACAGGACATTAATGTGCTCATCTTCCAGTCACTGCGTGTGATCTCTTGCAGCCAGCTCCCTTGGAAGTGCCTGGGTGTTATTGTTGACTCTTTAACGAGAACAAGGATGGCTTCCAAACGAGGGTGACTCATGTAATCTTAGCCTCAATCTATCAAACAGCGACGCATTGGATTAAATGATTACCTAAAGGATTAGGAGTCAGATTTTTTGGAGAGGTGGGAGAGAAGTGAAGAGTAAAAATACATAGAAAATCTGAAAAACAAAAGAAAAGCAGCGAGATGCAAACCCTAACTGTTCAGATAATGCCCAAGGCTGCTTTTACACTTTGTTTACACATCCAGAACGGGGAATGATGTAAAAATTTAATCTCTGCTTTTCACTAGAGATCGTCCTCTGCCAAGAGTGGTACTTCACCTCATCCCAAACCTTGATTCCTGATGCCTCT